TAATACCTCTATGTGAGCATTTTCAGAATTTTACATCACGCTTTTTCAGTTTTTCTGGATAAACGACGTTATGGTTTGTGTACCGCCTTTTTGTCTGGTGATGCTCTCTGCAGATCTCCGTCGTGATATCATCAGTTTCTTCCTTTGCACAAGGCGCCAGAACAAGCTTACCCCATCTGTATCCATTCTCATCCGGCAATCTACTATCAGGAACTGAATAAATGCTTCTTGTAATAAAGGGGCTTGATAATGATCTAGTCTTTCTTAGAAGAACTCGTCCAGAATAGGGATTTCCTGTTGACAATTCCATCTTTTGCTGCAATAGTTGTAACTACGAAAATAAGCCTTTAGTAGGCGGTGCTTAGAACTTCTCTACTATTCAGTAACACAAATGTAATAAAAAACAAGATGTTGTGGGGCAAAGTTGGTGGACATCTTTCACAGTTTTATTGTGAGAAAGAAAGAGGAAAGCAGCATTTAAGCTGAGAGGTGTTCTTATACAATCTGTCTCAGGAGGTCGAATGACATCTCCGCGTTGATTTCTGTCTCGAAGAGGTACATTCACCGTCTTTCCACAATTTTCCTTTCCCATGGACCTTACCAAATATCTATGCTGAATCACCACATCGAAGGATGGAAGGACATTAGGTAAACTGGGTGTTGAGCCGCATATTCTTAGTCACAAACGTTTTACCAGCCTTCCCCGAGCTGACCTACCCATCATTGCTAGGTATTGGAGGCTCCTCCGAGATTCAATGAGTGAAGCAAAACTTGGAAGAACTTGGAAGAACTTGGAAGAACTAAATCATCAAAGATAGGGACGGAATACAACTCTGCAAAGCTAAAGTAGTTAAGCAGTCAGGGAAAGAAGAGAAGTGTGGAAAACTATTCTGTTCCTACGGTCGGCTAACCATGTTGTAGTGTGTATTCGATCAACTGAAAGAAGAGCCGTCTATGAGCTTCTGATGCTCTGTAAGCAAATTATTTCTCTTCACAACTATGTCAACAGACTGGCTTCGGTAAAAAGGTTTATCCGGTTGTTTTGAGCGAATCGTTGTCTTCAAGATTCCAGCAGAGAACTGAAATTT